ATGCAGCGGGCGCCCCCGCAGAAGCCGACGCATCAGCGGGCTCAGCAGGTGACCCCGCGCTCCCAGATGGACCCTTCTCCTTCTCGCGGATGTCCTTGAACTGGCGCCTGCTCACCTTCGGAACTCCTAGCGCCTTGGATTTAGTCTGGAATGCTTGCCTTCTCGCATCTGGCCGTGAGGCGCGACGCCTTGTTGAAGCGCCCAGTGAAGGTGACCGGCCAGCCCCCTGGTAAGTGCGGCCAGGGGCGGCGCCGCGCGGTGCGACAGGCTCCTTCGGTTCGGGAGCGCCACTGCCCTGGGGCGGCGCCGCCGCGGCTGCCGCAGCCGGCCCCCTGGCGCGCGTTCTACGGGCAGGTTTCCCGCGGGTTCCCCGTCGTAGCGCTTCGCCTTGCTTCTCCCAAGATCGGCCTCTGCCGAACTGGCTCGCATCTCCGACCTAGGTGGCCTCGGCAAGCCTGGGGATGGAGACGTATCTAGGTCCTTCAGAGAGCGCTTCGGGGGCGCCGGGGGCTCGTCAGCTTTCTCAGCGGGCCCCCCCGCATCTGCGGACGAAGCGGGTTTCCCCGCGCTCTTGTGCGAGGGGCCGTCAGACGGTGGCTTCCGCCCATGTCGGTGGATTCTCGTATTCTCGATAGTGACATTCTTCTTGCAATTCAAAATGTATCCCCCATTGGGCAGCTTGCCTCGTATTGCAGTGACTATCGATCCACTGTTTTTGCTGCAGCGCGATACTGCGTCGCCTTCTCCCAAGACCGTGTCCTCTGTGACTTGCGCATCGATGTTTACATGTGCGCCAGTCTTCCACAGTATGGGACTCGCACTTATATTCAGATGCAGACGCAGGTGCTGCGGAATCAACAGCGTGCGCGAGACCGGACGCCTCGTCTTCTTCATCGGCCGTAGCTGGCGGGTTGCCCCGCTTGCCCTGGCCCTCATCGGCACCTTCGCGAGAGGAAGCAGGCCACCCCGCAGAAGAGGCTGCTCGCGCCTCGCGGCACGCCCGGTTGTAACGCTTAAGTCGGTGTTCCTCATCTAGGGCCCCCCACTCCTTCTCCGCGGGTTCTGCTTGGGCCCCGTCTAGCGGCTTGTAGCCCGCTTTGGTCAGGTGCGTGTGGCTGGGGCTGCGCGTCGGGCCCACCTTGCGACCTTCGTTGCCCCCGTGGGGATCAGACTCACGGGGTCTTCTCGAAGTTGGGGCTCCTTGAAGGGCGCGCCGTCGGGCAATTCGGTTTGTGGTCCGCGAAGCGCTCGCGTCCACGGAGCTCCTCTGGGTGCGTTTTCCGATCCGCAATGAAGGTTATGATGTCGGCCTTCCTCTCCAGCGTTTCAGCTGTCTTGGTGCCGCCTCTTCTGTTGGAGCGGATGGCATCGCCGATATGTTCGGCCCCGCTCCACGTTCCGCAGTGACCAGTTGTGGCGGACTCGGTCCTCGGAGTAGCCCTGTGCCCGCCACTATCTCACGTGGGGTCTGCTACCCGTTGGCGAGCGACCCCATCATTCTGCTCCCCGCCTAGTCTGAATCGACGCTGGCCTTCGGGTTAGTCTGAGCTTTCATCGCCCTGATGCGGGTTGCCCCGCGACCGTGTCCATCTTGGTGGTCCTCTCGGATCCCGTGGACGTGGGCGCTGCGTGCCGCTTGAGCAGGCGCGCGGGCGCTTGCGCGAATGGCCCCGCCGGTGACGGCATGGTGGATTGCTCTCAGCTCCCCATTCCCCATCGTCATCCTCACCGCGCCCCACGCGTCCCCAAGCCTTGCGGCTCGAAGAACGGCCATGTAGTGCAACGTTGAATTGAGAGCCTTCGTTGTGTCCGAGTTCGTACTGGACCCGCTCAGAAAGGTCACCGGCGTCGCAAGGGTTACCCCGCAAGGGATCGCCATCGCAAATTCCCCTGCGCGTCGGGTTTCAAAACGCCTGCGGTCGGAGCGCCAGCCGGAGCTCCTCCTCCGTGGCTGGTATAGCGTCGTCATCAGAACTATCCGGCTCGCACCCATCGGAGTGTGCAAGTTCCCCCGCCATCTCGCAGTCCGAGTCGGCGGATGAGCGGCGTGCCTGGGTGGTATATATGCGCAGGTTGCCCCGCGATCGGAAGCCCATCCAGTCTGCGAGATCGATTTCATCATGGCCAACGTAGACCTCCTCGAAGAGCTTCTCGGCGCACCTCTCGAGGGGCACACCGGCGCCCATGTGCATCGCAGACGCGAAGTGGACCTCTGTTTCGGCAAAACCGGCATGCTGAATGTCGGAATCGGTTTGAGCCAAATGCATCGACAGACCCCTGCCCCCCCCCATCGGATCGGGGGCATTCGCGACGGAACTGTTGGGTGATATGGCAGATGTCACGCTCCATGGTTCTCCCGATGGCACCCTTCGGGTTACCCGTTTTTTTCCTAGTAAAAACAAAACACATCCTGAGGTGCGCCCGCGGCCTCTGCCCTTCCCCAGGAAGATTTCCTCGTGCTGCGGCCCCGCAAGGGAGGCCAGGAAAGTCAACGTACCTCTACCATGCAACTGTCGTCGTTTACCCCTTGCCTCTACCCTTGCCCTCTGATCTCAACGCGCGTCTAATTGCACGTCGTGCTCTTCGAGCTGGTTTCTTCAGAAAACGTCTCCATCGGCGTTGATGCTTTTGGTTGCCTAGGGATGTCCACAGTGCTTGCTGCTCTTCAATGAAATGCGCGGGCATGTCGAAATAATCCAAGTTACCAGTTCCTTCATCTAACGAGGTGTTGGCACCGTTGCCTGAGTCAAAGTCGGACTCTGCGGGCTGCCCCGCCGAGCCCACGAAGGCGGCGGCTTGGGCAAGGGCCGCCGTTGCCGACGGCCCCTGGTATTGAGCCCATAAACTTGCGACCCCATGGGCCGGCCACCTTGCTGGCATAATAGAATGGTGGCCTCACTTGGTTGTGGATCGCCATTCTAGACAGCGCTGGCAGGTTGCCCCGCGTGAGTGTCGCCACGAAAGACATCGGCGCGGCGGCCGTGACCGAATGCAACGCCGATGCTGCAGAGGGCTCGCTCAGCAATATGGAGCGAGGCGTCGAACAGTCGTTGAGTCCGTGGAATTCGGTGGTTCAGCGGTTATAATACTTGCTGTGCGCGCGAAGCGCAGACACCCAGGGCTCTGAACTTTATGACTGTCAGGGGATCTGAAAGTTTGGGATGATGGACCCCGCGGCGTCAGCCTCAACGCGTGCAGTCTCAAATCGGGCCAGCGCCTGGTCGATCCGTTCTCCCGCATGGGCGCGAAACTCAATGAGAGCCGTCCCCGGATTAAGTAATCGCTCCTCTCCAAGGTTCGCAAACTTAGTGTTAAGGAGGAACCTTCTGTAGGTGACTCCATCGGCGTGGCGCCCACCAATGTCCACTCCAATGTTGATGACTGCTGGGGGGGCTCTCATGGCAATGGTCGTTGCGAGACCTGCAAGGCCACGCTGTAAAGCGGCGGCCAGCTGGGGGGGGGCCATAATGCCTGTGGTCGCGTTGATCCAGGCACGTACCTCGCGAGCGAACTCGTGGAACAAAAAGACGTTGCAGGCAGGGCCCCAGTGGGGGCCGATAGAACGCGCGTCGTCTCCACCGCGTTGCATATGTCCAACAGCAGATCCGATGGCGACCACAACGAAGCCAAATATAGCGATACCAATCCAATGGCCCCGTATTTCAAAATCGGTTGTAGGTGGTTGTTGTTTGTGCGGCGACGTTGCCGCCAGCTTGCGTCGGGGTGTGGGCGGCGCGATATCGTGACGCATGCTACCATGCATAGCATCTCCGAAGGAAACGCCGATTGGCGTAGGTGGGTGGACTTCCGGAATGTAGTAGCGCAGATCTGTAGGGCTCAGGTAGGAGACCTCTGCGCGAGCAGACGCAAATGTGCAGGTGTCCTTGCGACGGTATAGAGCTCCTCCACGTAGAGCCACTTCACCCTGAGTTTCCACCATGTCGGTAGTCCACCATATAGTGCCGTGGATAACGAGGAGTAGAGCTAGAACTGACCACCAAGGGCCAGCCCCGCTACCAACTTTAAAACTGCTTGAGGCGCCCAACCAAAAGCTTCGCCTAAGGCAAAACATGCGCCCAATTTTGTTGTACCGTATCAACGATAATCCCGGAAGTAGGAAGAAACCGCGTGAGCGGCGATACGTCTCAAGAGTAAAGGGTGGAACCTTTTCTGTCCCGATGTAAAGTAGCGGGCCGCGGTGCGGCCCGGTCAGATAGGCGGCCGGTCGCGGTCGCTTTGGCCATACATATGGCCGCGGGTACACGCTCGCTCCCGTCTGTACTTTTCCTCCTTCGGAGTCAACTATCCTCGCACGCCGTCATCGTAGCTCCCTCGGCTTCCATGCTCTCGCGATATTACGTGCGTAGTCTTGTTGTATCTTGGTGAGATAACTTTGAATCGGGACCCTGTCTGGCCAATATGGTTGAACCTCCCCTCGAGCGCACGCAATTCATCGGCTTCTGTGAAGAAGAAACCACTCGTAAAGCGGTTGTCATTGCAAGTTGTGTGAGATTAGCCAATGAGATTTGTATGCTGTGTACTAAATGAAAAAAAAAAAAAAAAAACAATACCTGGCGTTCTCGATGCGACACTTACAATCTGTTCGGGCTACATGCATCATCCTGTCAATGCTTCCTTTTCCCCGCCCACCCATTGTTTCGAGTGGCCATATGTTACAGCACGCCTGTCGTGTAGACAAACTGTGATACCATTCCAACCCGTTACGACCGTGCACACGGCCAACGCCGTGGCGCGTCGCGCAATCAACAATTTAGTAGATGTCTGCTTGGCGCAATTTTCATTGATGATTCACTGTCGGCACGCAACGCCCCACCCGTCCCCCTTGGCGTGGCGCCCCGCTTTTCAGCTTCAGAGGTTGACCGGCCAAAACAATCGTGGGGGGGCTTGCGGCCGCTTGACCCAGTCCTGGGCCACCCATCGGCTCCAGCGTAGGCGCCTTCGAATGCCCTCCTCCCCAGTCTCTCGAAAAGAAGAGGGACCTTGACTGCCACAGCGCCCTCCGCCTCGGCAGGCCGGGCCCAGGACTGCCGCAGCTCGGACGCGCTGTGCCAGCCGGCCTTGTCGAGGTCACGGCGCTGGCCCTGGGATGCAACGCTCCTCGCCGACCCTGCCCCTGCCGTCCCCTGACCTGCCCTTTGCTGCCCCTCATCTCCTCACCCCTGCCCAGGCTTTGACTTCCTCTGCCCCTCCCCTCGCCTGCCCCCTTCTGCTCCTCTTCCCTTACGGCCCTCAGTCCTTGCGCCCCTCCGTCCGTCCCTCCCCTCCTCCCGCTGGCAAGCTCAGCAACCCTGCTCAATGTGAGGACGCCCTCGGCTCTTGAAAACAACTCCCCCCGACCCGTTCTCCGAAGGAGAAGCAGACCCTCGCTTTGTCGGCCGAGGTAGCGGGGCATTGCAGCGGGGCCTACCAACGTCTACTACAGCTCCAACGTCAACTAACATCCCGCACGACATTACCAGGCGTCTGGTCTGCCTGCCGATGAGGCCACGAAGCGTGATAGGGGTGTGCCAGAATGGTCGTGACAAGGCATGCGGGCGCAACCATTCGGACCTTCGTTGGAACTCCCTGTGGGGAAACGACACGTATGAGATGTGTGCCAAAATGGGATGGCGGCGACACGCGGGCGCAACCAGTGGGGCCTTGGAGCTCCCTATGGGACTACAAACCGTGTGAGGGTGCACCAAAGTGGTGCGGCAGCGGCATGCGGGCGCAACCGCTGGGGCCTCACGTGGAGCTCCCTGTGGGGCCACGAAGCGTGTGAGGGGTGCACCAATGTGGTGTGGCGGCGGCATGCGGGCGCAACCGCTGGGGCCTCGGGTGGAGCTCCCTGTGGGGCCACGAAACGTGTGAGGAGTGCGCCAGAGTAAGCTGGCGGCGGCATGCGGGCGCAACCGCTGAGCCCTTCGGTGGAGCCCCATATTGGGCTACGAAGCGTGTGAGGGGTGCACCAATGTGGTGTGGCGGTGGCATGCGGGCGCAATCACTTGGGCCTCAGGTGGATTTCCTTCTGGGGCTACGAAACGTGTGAATGGTTCGTCAAACTGGGGTGACGGCGCCAGCCGGACGCAACAATTGGGGCCTTAGGTCGAGCTCCCTATGCGGCCACGAAGCGTGTGAGGGAAGCGCCAAAGTGGGGTGGCGGCGGCATGCGGGCGCAACCACTCGGGCCTCAAATGGAGCGCCCTATGTGGACACCAACCGTGTAACGGGTGCGCCAAAATGGGGTGGCGGCTGCATGCGGGCACAACCACTTGGGCCTCAAGTGGCGATCCGCATGGGGCCACGAAGCGTGTGAGGGGTGCACCAATGTGGTGTGGCGGCGGCATGCGGGCGCAACCGCTGGGGCCTCGGGTGGAGCTCCCTGTGGGGCCACGAAACGTGTGAGGAGTGCGCCAGAGTAAGCTGGCGGCGGCATGCGGGCGCAACCGCTGAGCCCTTCGGTGGAGCCCCATATTGGGCTACGAAGCGTGTGAGGGGTGCACCAATGTGGTGTGGCGGTGGCATGCGGGCGCAATCACTTGGGCCTCAGGTGGATTTCCTTCTGGGGCTACGAAACGTGTGAATGGTTCGTCAAACTGGGGTGACGGCGCCAGCCGGACGCAACAATTGGGGCCTTAGGTCGAGCTCCCTATGCGGCCACGAAGCGTGTGAGGGAAGCGCCAAAGTGGGGTGGCGGCGGCATGCGGGCGCAACCACTCGGGCCTCAAATGGAGCGCCCTATGTGGACACCAACCGTGTAACGGGTGCGCCAAAATGGGGTGGCGGCTGCATGCGGGCACAACCACTTGGGCCTCAAGTGGCGATCCGCATGGGGCCACGAAGCGTGTGAGGGGTGCACCAATGTGGTGTGGCGGCGGCATGCGGGCGCAACCGCTGGGGCCTCGGGTGGAGCTCCCTGTGGGGCCACGAAACGTGTGAGGAGTGCGCCAGAGTAAGCTGGCGGCGGCATGCGGGCGCAACCGCTGAGCCCTTCGGTGGAGCCCCATATTGGGCTACGAAGCGTGTGAGGGGTGCACCAATGTGGTGTGGCGGTGGCATGCGGGCGCAATCACTTGGGCCTCAGGTGGATTTCCTTCTGGGGCTACGAAACGTGTGAATGGTTCGTCAAACTGGGGTGACGGCGCCAGCCGGACGCAACAATTGGGGCCTTAGGTCGAGCTCCCTATGCGGCCACGAAGCGTGTGAGGGAAGCGCCAAAGTGGGGTGGCGGCGGCATGCGGGCGCAACCACTCGGGCCTCAAATGGAGCGCCCTATGTGGACACCAACCGTGTAACGGGTGCGCCAAAATGGGGTGGCGGCTGCATGCGGGCACAACCACTTGGGCCTCAAGTGGCGATCCGCATGGGGCCACGAAGCGTGTGAGGGGTGCACCAATGTGGTGTGGCGGCGGCATGCGGGCGCAACCGCTGGGGCCTCGGGTGGAGCTCCCTGTGGGGCCACGAAACGTGTGAGGGGTGCGCCAAAGTAAGCTGGCGGCGGCATGCGGGCGCAACCGCTGAGCCCTTCGGTGGAGCCCCATATTGGGCTACGAAGCGTGTGAGGGGTGCACCAATGTGGTGTGGCGGTGGCATGCGGGCGCAATCACTTGGGCCTCAGGTGGATTTCCTTCTGGGACTACGAAACGTGTGAATGGTTCGTCAAACTGGGGTGACGGCGCCAGCCGGACGCAACAATTGGGGCCTTAGGTCGAGCTCCCTATGCGGCCACGAAGCGTGTGAGGGAAGCGCCAAAGTGGGGTGGCGGCGGCATGCAGGCGCAACCACTCGGGCCTCAAATGGAGCGCCCTATGTGGACACCAACCGTGTAACGGGTGCGCCAAAATGGGGTGGCGGCTGCATGCGGGCACAACCACTTGGGCCTCAGGTGGAGATCCGCATGGGGCCACGAGACGTGTGAGGGGTGCACCAAAGTGGTGTGGCGGCGGCGTGCGGGCGCAACCACTGGGGCCTTCGGTGGAACCCAATACTGGGCAACGAAACGTGTCAGTAGTGCTCCAAAGTGGTGTGGCGGCAGCATGCGGGCGCAACAATTGGGGCCTTAGGTGGAGCTCCAAATGGGGCCACGGAACGTGTGAGGGGTGCGTCAAAATTGGGTGGCGGCGGCATGCGGGGGCAACATTGGAGGACGGGTGAGGAGGGAAGAAAGCTAGCCGGCGCCGCCAAAAACGAGGACCGAATTCAACACAGTATTGTTGAGGCAAACACATTGGCGGCAGATCTTCCATCATATGGTCTTATCCATCACAAGGCGGACCTATCGGCTGAGCGTCAGGCCGCCGAAGCTTCGGAAGCAGTTGAAGCGGTCATGGTGCGCATGAGACAACAGCGAGGTTCAGAGAAATCTGAATGCCACTTGTGTAAAGCAGATTGTTGACGTCTGGTTCGCACCCAGAAGCTGTCGGAACAGGAGATCGTGTACGCTGAGGAGCAGGAGCACGCGTTGGCCGATCTGGGCGTTCAAAGAGCGTTGATCGAGGCGGACCTCAAGACGGCCAAGTCCACGAACGACCGCCTTGAACTGAAAGTGGCGACCTTGGCGAGTTCTACCCCTGTGAGCCTTGCCGCCCTTATCATGGGCTCTACGGGCACAAACTACATGATCAACCTCTTCTCGGAACTAAGGAACGCCTGCGCAAGCAGGGCTGCAACAGATCATTGGCACCTTGTCATATCATCCAAAGAGGAGGCAGGACAACACGAGTCCCACCAACCCTTGGTCTAGAGCGTTTCTTTTTCCAGGCTCCTTCCTTTCCCTGTTCGGGAGGTTTACCTCCGCCCCCCCCTTCCCTGGGTCTGGACGGACTCCCCCGCGAGGGGTGAGTGCGCCCAAGCTGGCCCAAGCTAGCTTCAACAAGGCTTTAGCTAGCCCAAGATGGCCCCCCAAATCGCCCAAGATACCTCAAGACGGCTCGAAATAGTCTCCAACACGCATCCAAGAGGCCTCAAAAACGGCCCCAAGACGGTTTCAAGTGCCCTCTGAAGCCCCCCAAGGACCCCCCCAAGAAGCCACAATGGGTTCAAAACGTAAGGAACATCAGTGTGTTCAGCCTTTTCGCGTTTTCGATTCCGATGGGCTCTTGAGGCGTCAAAGTGGCCCCAAGATGGCCCAACATAGCCCCAAGAGAAGGCCCAAGAGGGCCCCAAGACGGCTCCAAGAGCTCGCAAAAGTGCCCCTAAGACGCTCCTTTTGGGCCTCCGAGGGGGGGCGTAAATTTAAGACCCCGCTCTTATGGAGTGAAGGAGTCCAAGACGGCCCCAAGAGGTTCCCCAGACCCCCCCAAAGAGCCCCAAGAGGGCTCCAAGACCATTCAAAAAGCCCCACGACGGTCCCAAGAAAACCCCCACAGGACCCCAAGATGGCGCCCAAATTGGCGACGAAACTTCGAAGAACCCCTCGCCGCGACATATGCCCAAAGCCCGGCTTTTCGTCCTCTTTGTCATCGTCCGGTCCGTCCTTGCTTCTTTCCGGCCGCCTCCCTGCTCCTCTTCATCCTCCTCGCGCCGCGTTCCTCCTGCTCCTCCTCCTCCATCCCTTCCTTCTTTTCTGTTTTTCCTCCTCCTCCTCCTCCTCCTGTTCTCCTCCTCCTCCTCCTCCTCCTCCTCCTCCTCCTCCTCCTCCTCCTCCTCCTCTTACTCCGCCTCTTGCCCCCAAGATGGCCCCAGAGTCTATTGCCTGGACATTCGTTACCCTTGCGATATGTCCCGATGGCGTCCCATAGTCACTGGGCTTCACGTAAGACATGGGCAAGAAAAGATAGTGCCGTTAATCATGCAACTTATATAACACTGACGGGAGGGGGCCGGCCCGCTGGCCGACGCGCGCGGGCGCGCTCCTTTTCCGTTACGCCTGCGCCGTCTATTGACGATAGCACAGCTGCGGAACACAGAATGTCAAGGCAAGGCGCAGACAGTGGGAAGCAAGCGGGATGGGTGAGAAGGGCCGGAGCCTGGTGGTGCGGAGGGGTGCATTGACTCCCCCCGCGGCGGAATACGTAGAGCCGCCCCGACCCCCCACCCGCCAGGCCTGTACATATGTACAATCACCGGAGCGAACCCCTAAAGAACAGTTTTGCCGCGCGAC